TATACTATGAGTAAAACTAGTCAAATGGATTCACTAAGGTCTGAATAATTAATCAATTATAGGACACTCAGTAATGTTATATAAAGTAAATGTATGTCCAGAAGGACATGGTATGTCCATGTCCCTGGTATGAATCTAAGTGACTTTTGACACTTTTTAATTTATATTTCTTTTTTAGAAACAATCACAAGTCACTTCAGAGTCTAATTAATGAGAATAGTGTAATTTAATGGCACATGTCCCTATCTTGCCTCATATGAAATATTATGACACTTTTTTGTGTGTAGTTAACCTTATTGATTGGTTAGAAAACAGAAGTTTGTCCAGAGGCACACTGAAATTTAATGCAGAAGTAGAATACAAATTTCCAGTGCCCATCTCCTATTTAATTTCTAATAATTTAAAAATTATTACCTAAGTGAATTGCCATTAAAATTCTGGCAAGGGCATTGTTAATTAAATTTAGGTCTCAAAATTTTAGATGATTTCAATCTGTATATGTCAAAACCATTAGGTGACTATTTTTTCTTTCTGGGTCAAGACATTGTGATGAGAATATAAATTTCTTTATGATAAAGTCAGGACCAATTTTATTTTCTTCCAATTTTGGAATATAAATGTTAGGTCAGAAAAAATACTTATAGTAGAAAAGAGAAGTCATTGAGAGCTGTTGGACATTAAAGTGATGTCGCAGTACCTCAAATTCCTTGCACTTTTCTGTTCAACCTTGTTCTACGTGTAGTTAAGCTCATTTCTTTATAATCATATAAAGTGAAAATCAGCCTATTTTAAAGAGTTGGTATTGACCTATGAAAACCATGTAAATAACAATTTGTCAAAAATATTTTGTAATCAGAAGTCATCATTTGTGGGTTAAAATGTACACATGCATAAATGTATAAAGAAAACAAAATATAGATATATTTTTCTTGTCATTGAGAAGTCATGACCATTTAATTGGCTGTCATTACATTGGTAACAGGGACATGCTAGCAATCTTTACAAAGCTTAAACAAATTGTATTCATTAGACACTTATCATCAAGATTGACTTAATTGGACTGTCTCAGTAGCAGAAAACATGTTCTTTTGTTCAAAGCCTTTGGAACACACATTATAAACTATTTAATGCACATGTTGCTATACTCTCCCATTCCTCAAACCTCATGTAGTATATATAGTCTTTAAAGTTAAGTTGTGTGTAAGGGCTGTTCATGGAGACTTCATTTGCAAAAGAGTTATTCATTTCAGATCTCACTTCAGATGGAATATTTTGCAGTTATCAGGCAGGACTTGTGCTTGCTTCCTTGACAACCTCTCTTTTCCCTACACTGGACTTTTATGTCAAATTAACATAAAGATTACACTTCAGGCATTTAGTATGAGCCAGGCAACCTGGAAGTGATTGTATTATTATTGCCAATTTGCAGATGAAGTACAGAGAAGTTAAATAACTTGCCCATTATCACACAGCTAATAAGTGCCAGAGTCCAGATGGAATCTCAGCAGATGCAGTTCTAAATCCCACATTCTGGTTCTACAGAACTTTGTCTTTCAAGCCTTGTATTGACATTTCCTTGCAATTATACTTAAACAATCATTAGTGTTTTTATAGTAAAAATAAATGTTATATTTGTGTCTTTACCCACTCAAATTTTAGGGCCATATTTTTTCTCAAATAAACAAAAACTTTTTATTTATCTAAGATTTAACAAAGCATTTTTATTTTCTTTATTTTAAAAAAAAATTTATTGTATTTCTTCATTATCATTTAGTACCCTTATACTTCCCTCCACCCTGCAATCACCACAATATTGTCCATATCCATGAGTCCTTTTGCTTTTTTGCTCAATCCCTTCATCCCCTAACCCCCTACCACCTTAGCTGTCCTCCTGCTCTCCATCTATGAGTCTGTCTCTGTTTTGCTTGTTAGTTCAGTTTGTTCACTAGATTCCACTTATGTGTGAAATCATATGGCATTTCTTTTTCTGACTAGCTTATTTCACTTAGCATGGTGTTCTCCAGGTCAATCCACAGTGTTGCAAAAGGTAATCTTTTCTTTTTTTTTTTTGTGGCCAAATAGTATCCCATTGTGTAATGTCCCATAAATGTTTTATCCAGTCATCTACTGAAGGACACTTAGGCTGCTTCCATGTCTTGGCAATTGCAAATAATGCTGCAATGAACATAGGAGTGCTTATTTTCTTAAGAATTAGTGTTTTGGGTTCCTTCAGATATATACTACCAGAAGTGGAATCACTGGGTGAAAAACTAGGTCCATTTTTAATTTTTTGAGGTAACTCTTTACCACTTTCCATAGTGGCTCCTCCAATCTACACCCCACCAAAAATGCCCAAAGATTTCCCTTTCTCCACATCCCTGTCATCATTTACTGTTTGTTGATTTATTGATGATAGCTATTCGGACAGGTGTTATATGATATCTCATTGTGTTTTTAATTTGCATTTCTCTGATGATTAGCTATGTCCCACATATTTTCATATGTCTATTGGCCATCTGTATGTACTCTTTGGAGAAGTGTCTGTTCAGGTCCTTTACCCATTTTTTGATTGGGTTGTTTGATTTTTTGGTGTTGAGTTTTGTAAGTTCTTTATCAATTTTGAATATTAACACCTTATCAGGTGTAATGGTGAATATGTTCTTCCATCCTATGGGTTGTCTTTTCTTTTGTTGATGTTTTCCTTTGCTGTACAAAACCTTCTTAGTTTGATGTAGTCTGCTTGTTTATTTTTTTCTTTTGTTTCCTTTCCCTGGAGAGATATATCTGATAAAATATTTCTACAAGCAATGTCCAAGATTTTGCTGCCTGTGTTTTCTGTTAGGATTTTTATGGTTTTGAGTCTAACATTTAACACTTTAATCCATTTTGAATTTATTCTTGTATGTGGTGTAAGGAGGCAGTTTAGGGCCATATTTTAAGTCCAATATTTCTATGATATACTTGGAAATTTGGGGGGCTCTAATAGAAGGTTTCTCTAAAGACTGTCTCTCAAAGGAAGATACAGTAGTTGAAAATGTACTCATAATTTATAACTATGAAGAGATATTGCCCTTTATGCATTTTCAGTTGCAAAACTAAGATAAATTAGTAAGGAGTGCCTTTGGTTCATTGCTATCAATTCAAAGACATGGCATTTTAATTAAAGCAGTCTCCTATAAAAAGGTTCCTGTTTAGAACTTTGCATGAGTTGATCATAGTTGTTTCTTTTTTTGTTATTTTTTCCTTTTGCATTTTTAATTACAAAATTAAAAGTAATAAAGGCCAGGACATAAATATTGTATTGTCTTCAAAATATTTTTCCCTGGGATGAGGTTAAAATTAATAAATGGAAAATTACTGACTACTGTTAGATTGGCTGTTCCTTACAGGACAGGCATAATTCCTGTGGCCAGTGGGATTTTCAGAGCATTTCTAATGCACTCAGAAGATCTTCTAATCCCGGAAAGAATACTTCCTTGAATTTAAGAGATTGGTGTTCTTTATTTGGCTTCAGAAAATAACAAAACTTTTGTTTGTTTGTTTGTTTTCTATCGGGCACCAACGTTTTTGGCTTATCCTGTTGGCATCACCCCAATAGAAAACTTCCTGGAAAGCAGCTCATTTTGGTGTGATCCGGAGATGCTTTTGTCTGTCTTCTAGGTCATGTTTTAACTCCCATTCGTTAGACTCATGAAAGATTTTTTTTAAATGATGCAAAGTCTTCAAGTTCCAAGTAGGACTATTTTACATAAAAGTCCAGTGAAATTGACACTTGGCCAGAACTTGGAATAGCTAGGAAAAATATCAAGAAAAACAACTTTTATCAAAAGGCAAATTAGTTTTTGAGGCTGGTGTTAATTGTCAGCCAAGGTGTTTCATTATGAAGCTGAATTTTTAAGAGTTGTTACTTGGTTACTATGAAAACACCAACCAGAAGAAAACATTGCAAAGTACTGTCTATTTCTCCAGTCTCTCCCAATCTCTCTACCAACTTGTCAATAATGTGAATGCTGTTTTAAAACCTATGTGCTGCCTAGAAATTGCTTGTGTTGGCTGTTTATTTAACTTCATTTCTGGATAAAATGGGTATTTCATAATCAAAGGGCTCAGGGATGATTCCGTTCAAACTTGAGATGTATTTTTCTATTTTGCAATTCTCTGTGTTTGAATGAAACCTTAAGAAGGCCTTATTTGGAGAGCTATTTTTTCTTTGTAACCTGGCACATAAAGGTAACCGCAGGAAATATGACTACAGAGATGATTCTTTTGGATGAAGCAATGTGAAATGTGGTGCTTTATCTCTACATGTGAGTGTACCTACTGCTGATTTTTTTAAGGAAAAGCACCTGAGGGCCATAAGTAGCAAGTTCCAACTGTTTATTCTCCTCCACAACAGTAAACAGTGTGAAGGTTTCTCTCCACACATAACATATCCAAAGCTCCTGGGAGTATGTATGCTTTGATATTTTCCCCATTCTGACATTTCACTAGCTGGCTAAGAAAAAAAAATGGTGTGCTGAGTGAGGCCTCAAAGGATAGGCAAAAAATTCCTGTATTGTCCTATCTATAGACATCCTTTTAGTTTTTGTTGTGTTCAGCATCTAGTTTTATGGTGATATATAGAAAAATTATTTTCTGTGGATGGTGTAATAAAAGTATTGGTTTAAATTACTTGACAGCAATTTGCCAGCCAAATAATTTAAAGCTCTGATTATAGTCTTAATGAAGCCTTTGCTGTTCATTCTAAGAAACAAGCATGGCTATATTTTTGTCCTTCCAAACAAAAGCGGGTTTTCCTCTTGCCTCGCAAGGTCTCAGCTCAGGTTTTACAGAACAAAATAATGAATGCTTCTGCTGTGGCATGTCACAGGGGAGGCTGGGACAATACTGAACTCATGCACACTGCTGATCCTTGCTTGCTCGGCAACATGTACACCTGGATGTCTGACAGCTTGGTGGGTTCACTAGAGACCTCTGTCATTCTGTTCTTCCTCTCTTAGGCAATGGTCGAGACAGTTAACAACCTCCTCCAGCCACAAGCCTTGAATGCGTGGAGAGACCTGACTACAAGCGATCAACTCCGTGCAGCCACCATGTTGCTGGACACTGTGGAGGAAAGCGCCTTTGTGCTGGCTGATAACCTTCTGAAGACTGACATTGTCAGGGAGAACACAGACAATATTCGTAAGTGGCCTTGGTTCTACAAAAGGGCCAAAGAGAGTTGTACAGTAGGAGAGGGAAAAGAAAAAAGTATTTATGGTGGCCTAGATATTATGAATGATACTCTATTCTTTTCCTATAATTAAGAAGATATCACCTGTCATTGGTTTAAAAAAGCCTTCGTAATCATCTTTGTTACCCTTCTTAGGACATGCCAATATTGGATGTATTAGCTTGAGATCACTTACAGTGAGGTCCATTTAATTTTATGTTAGTATTTAATGTATATTTGTTTATACGCATAAGCTCCATAGTGCAGGGCTTATGAGTCACTTCAGTTATTATAGGAGTGCCTCTGAATTACATACTGTAAAGAAATCAGTCATTGAAGTTGGGGGTTAAAACAATTTTTGATAATTGTGTTATTGGCTCATAAAGAGTATAAATCTATTTTATTGTATATAAGGATATAGTTGACAGTTTTATTTCAAAAGATTTGATAAAGCTGTTTCCAACTTATTAGATTTAATGATAGATCAATATTGATAAAATGGTGCAATCTAGATTATGAAAGTATTTTTATCTAATGCATAAAATAGAGATATTATTTTGAAAATAAACTTTAAGTCAATGACAAAGTATAAAGATTTGAGTTTGAATTTTAAATTTTAACTCCTGATACATTTAAATTCTTATTTGCCTAATTTTCACAGCTTTTATTTGCTTTATTTTAAAAAAAAAACCTTATGATTGTAAAAGAATACTTTCTAAATAAAAGATTGAACTACTGTAAAGCATAACAAATAGAAGATTAATTCCAATATTTTGATTTCAGAATTATTCCAGTGATTTAGGAAATTAGCTTTGTAACATTTCTCAATAAGCGCTCATATCTCTTTGCTATTGACAGAGTTGGAAGTTGCAAGGCTGAGCACAGAAGGGAACTTAGAAGACTTAAAATTTCCAGAAACCATGGCTCATGGAAGCACTATACAGCTTTCTGCAAATACGTTAAAGCAAAATGGGCGAAATGGTATGTCACAGTATAGCTTGATAGAGTCACACTTGTCATCAATGCATTCCATAGCTTCTTGGCTTGGAATTTTAAACATGTTGTTCAAATTATGATGCCCAAGTCATCTGCTGTATGTCTTCTCTTGCTCCACTGTTCTCATTCTCTTGCTATTCCTCCTCTTTCTATGTCCGGCACAAACAGTATAGCAATGGCATTTGTTTTACAATATTCTCAGATTTGGAAATTGTGTCAGTTGCAGTGAAATGTCACAAAGTGGAATATGAGAGATGTTTGAAAATTAGGAAATCCAGATGATCCGACTTTTTCCCTTGAAAGTCATAACCCTTACTGTGTTGTCAGATTTGGTTTCTAAAATTTTCAGTGAAAATTTTACGTGTAATTTTAAGGTTACATTTTTTTTTCCTTATTTACTTCTTTTTGGGGCTAGGTATTTGTATGTTTTTCTTTCACACATCATACAGAAAGTTTAATGTGAGGAGATGCTTCTGTGGAGTGGAACTCATAAACATAGGCCAGTTTAGGACTGGATTAAATTCACTGAAGGTATTTAAAATTAAATAAATAAATAATCCCATAGAGATGCTATATCTCAAGCTTCATTAATATTAATTTGAAAATGTATGTTTTTGCCAAGGAAGTAAGATCTTTTAACCTGTTAGTGATAGGAAGATGACCTCAAGTCCTAGCAACCAACTCAAAGCTGATGTTTCACATTGCAGGGTGAACATTTTTTTTAATAGCCTGTTAAGTAATATCAAGGAAAACAAATTATGTTTGTTGTCAGCCAAGAAAAATTCTTTTTAAGTGCTGGGAATCTTATAAGATTGAAATTGTAAATCTTTATTGTGTTGCCAATTTGACCATGTGGATCTAGAGGCAGTAGTAAGATTTTATGTAGAACAAAATCAGAGTCCTATACTAGCTTGCTAACTGGCTTCCCTTTCACTCTTGTCTTCAAATACCATATCCTACTGACAAATGTTCTTCCTGAAACAACAATCTTTCCCGTTTGCTTACAGTTATACGTAGAATGAAATCAAATGACTAGCCCTACCATGTGTTGCCTAGTCCACCTCCTTCCAGCTTCATGTGCCCCACGTCACTCCTGTGGTTAGCACTCGCTCTGTGATCCTAACAGTTTAGTCTCAGGTCTTCATTTTTATTGAGATATAATTGACATATAACATACTAGTTTCAGGTATACAACATAATAATTTGATATTTGTATATGTTGCAAAATGAACAGCACAATAAGGCTGGTTAACCACCATAGAGTTACTATTGGCTTTCTTTTAAACATTTAAGATTTATTGTCTTAATTTTCAAAATATGCAATACAGTATTAACCATAGTCACAATACTGTACCCTTTGCTCCCCTTAACGCATTTTTTTCTGTTTTTTCCCCACTCTCACCTCTGGGAACCCCCAGTCAGTTATGACATGTTTTTTACTTAAGATTTTCAAGTAATATATATCAATACCTTGTATATCAAGGTCTGTCCAGAAAAAGTCCAGCCATTGTTAATGAAACCAGAATCGTTTGTGAGACATCAATGTAACTTGGCAGCCAAGGAAGTGGACCAGAATGCATATGTGTGAACAATGATGCCTTCACCGTACTAGTCAGCGAGGGCTCTAGATGCCATTGTGTGAGCATGTGTACTGTGTGGCAGTTGCATACAAAATGACTGAGCAAATAGAGCAAGGGATCTGCATCAAACTTTCCGTTAAGTTTGAACATTCTTCCACGGAAACTATTTAGATGATTCAGAAGGCTTTCAGGATGATACAATGAGTGTAGTGCAAAGAAAAGTGTGGCACAAATGCTTCAAAGATGGTCAAGGATCTGTTGAAAGTGACCCACTTTCTGGAAGGCCTGCCACAAGTAGAGTGCCTGAGAATGTCAAACGTGTACAGACTGCAATCAACAAAGGCTGCTGACCCACAGTGGGAGCACTAGACGCTGATCTGGGGATTTCAAAAACTATTGTGTCGGAGATGTTTTAACACAGGATCTTGGCATGAAACATATTGTGGCAAATTCATTCCTTGGCTTCTGCTACCGGAGCAGAAGGAACATCGTTCTGCAGTTTAGAGAACTGTGTGAGGTCCCAAGGTGCCTACTATGAAGGAGACTGAGGTGTCATTGTCCTGTGTACAATGTTTCTTGTATCTTGTTCAATAAATGTCTCTTTGTCATAGTGCATGGCTGGATACTTTCTGGACAGGCCTCATAATTGAGGTCATACGGTATTTGTATTTCTCTTTCTGACTTATTTCACTCAGCTAATGCCCTAAAGATTCAGTCATATTGTCACAATTGGCAGAATTTCTTTTTTATGGTTGAATATTCAAATACATTTCATTGTATTTGTATATCCCACATTTTCTTTATCCATTTATCTATCCATGAACACTTGGCTTATTTCCATGACTCGTCATTTGTATGATAATGCTTCAGGGAACATGGAGGTCTGGTGCATAGATCTTCTCAAGTTAGTGTTCCCACTTCTGGTAAATACCCAAATGTGAAATTGCTGAAACTGCTGGATGATACGGTAATTCTGTTTTTAATTTTTTGAGGGACCCTTCATACTGCTTACCATACTCACTGTACTGATTTACCTGCCGACCAACACTGCACAAGGGTGTTGTTCCCTACTCTTGTTTTGATGCTGTTCCTTGAACACACCAAGAGTGTCCTCAGCTTTTTGTGCTTCTTTTTTCCTTCCTGGGATGCAATTTTTGCAATTCTTTGTATAGAAGCTACATATCATTCAGTATTCAGTATAAATATTAACTCTTTGGGAAGGTTTTCCCTATCTCCCTAAAGGTAGACACTTCGATTAGCCATTTTATGCCAGTTCTTCTTCATAGCACTTATTCATTTGCTACCATAAAAATTATTGTTGTTGTTGTTATTATTATTATTATTATTATTATTATTATTATTATTATTTTATTACCTGCTTATCATCTGACCCTCTCTCTAGGCAATAAACTCCATAACAGCAGAGACCTTTTCTAATTTATTCACTGATGTAACACTAGTGCCTGGATACACTCACTAAAAATTTATCAAATAAATATGTGAACTTCCAGAGACAAAACTAAAGAAGATTGTATATGTATGTCTACATTAATCATATTAGGTTTTGTGTTCATTTATTTTATTGACCAAGTTAATGTAGTGTGTGTGTATGTGTATGTGTGTGAGAGAGAGAGAAGATTTAATTTTGGAGTGGAGGATTTGTAAAATACATATATTTTGCATATATGAGATATATAAATTCAAATCACCAAAGGTGCTGGTAAAACAAGGTCAGATGTCATGTTACTGGGGAGAGATCTGAGTCAGGACTCCCAAGCCCTGAGCTTTTTTCTAGGTTCTTGTCTGTCTCGCAAAAGAAAAATGCAAGCAAGAGACAAGAAGTATAATGGAAATGAGATAGCAAGTTTGTTTATGAAATACATAGGAGCACGAAGCTGCAAGCAGGCACCTGGCTAGCTTAAATGCCCCATGTTTAAAAGAAATAAAGTTGTTAGTAAGTTCGTTCTATACATTTGAGCCGAGGCTGCAAATGGACACCCAGGTAATCTGAGTGCACTGACTACTGGGGTTTAGGGGTTATATACTACAGTCAGTTTCTAGGTTCCCCCTCTGACTCCCGCTTCTAAACCTTGGGAATAATGTACAGCTACAAGGACTTTCTTTCTCAGTTAGTAAAGGCTCTTGGTCTTAGTGAAATTGTTACCTCGGCTCCCTTTCCCAGCACGGAGTCTCAAGGGCTCCCTTCCTCATGCGCTATCCCTGTTGTGATGTTCGGAACACCTGGCAATCTTATGGGACCAGGCTCAGCGCTGCTGAGTTAAGTGGTGAGACATGACTTCCTTTTGTCTCCAGATGCCTGCTTTAAGTTCTCTGTTAGATTGTAATGGTGAGGCTCTACTTTATTTTTCCTTGGGCCTCTCATTTCTGGCTGCTACCTACAGAAACAGCAACATGACACCATCCTGCAAGTGGAAATTGGTATGAATATCAATCAATTATAAATCAATAAAATAAAAGTTGTTATAGTCAAGAAGAAAAATACATCAATGGTCTTATGTTAGCCTTCTAAAAATCAGCATTTTTATACTAAATCTTGAGGAAAGAACTAAAATTCAATTCTGTGTTGTAAGAACCCAGAAAGTATTTGGTGAATTACTATTGTTTGCTCTGTACTATGTTAACAGATGTGGATTGAAAGTTAAAGAACGCCCCTTTCCTTTATGTAGCTCTTTTCATAATAGATACCTCATATACATACCTCACAGAATCACTGAGAGGGCTGGAGAATCAGGCCCCAAAACACACGAAAGCAAGAACGCTGATAGCAGCGTGTACCATTGCCCAGAATCGTAGCTGTCACTAGTGTCACAAGTGAAGGCTGCTGCTGTTCCACCCCCTCCTTCCTATGTCACTAAATCCTCGTCCAAAGTCCAATGCTAGGGCATCTGATTGGGTATATGTCGCCGAGGAGCCCAGAGCAACCTCTTTGCATGGCAGTCTGAGAAAGCAAGTATATGCCAATTTTGTGTCTCTTAATCCCTAAGAGTATGGAATTTTCCAAACATGGAAACACAGTTTAGATGTTGGACAGTCCTCTCCCTCCTCAAAAATATATAATTCATTTGTCTGTATTCCCGCTTGATTTTAAGATGTTAATGACAAAAACTGTGACTTACTTGCCTTAATATCTGTAGTAGTCAGGGCCTTACCTCTTATTGGAGCAATATGAATTCATAATAAAAGGCTTGACCTCTTTAAGAAAGGAAAGATGATTTTAAAAGATGGTTGCTTTTACAGGGGATTATCTGTAAGAGATTATCATAAGGGAAAAAATAAGGTAGAAGGATGTATGGAGATAGTAACCTTAAAAGAACATAATTGAGGTTTAAGACAGGTAAAAATTTTGCATCCTTATATTTATTTTTATGCAATGTAATGCACATATCTTAAAAGTGTTTAGCTTGTTGAATTTGACAATTATATATATATCCTCTATAATGCCTTATAATATAAGCTATAAATCTCTTCTATTACCCAGAAAATTCCTTGGTGCCTCTTTCCATTCTGCTTACCCCCCGTCCCCACCTGATGAAACTACTCTCTTCTCATTACTATTATATAGACAACTTTGGTCTGTTCTTAGGCTTTATATAACTGAAATCATAGGCTTTGTATAACTGAATTCATACAGTGTATACTCTTTTCTCTCTGTCTTCTCTAACTCAATATTTTTGGGATTCAATCATGATGCTCCATTAATCAGTATAGTAGTTTTTTTCTTTATTGATGCATATTAGATTGCATTATATTAATATGCCATAATTAATTCTTTTATTAACAGGTATTTGAGTTGTTTCCAGTTTGGTGCTATTATGAATAATGATGCTATAACCATCCTTACACAAGTTTTTTCTTTCCATTGTAAATTTATGTCTTCACTGATCTAGAAAAAGGTAGATATGTGTTTGACTTTGTAAGAAATTGCCAAACTTTTTTCTAAATAGGTGAATATTTTATACTTTCTCCAGAAATGTACAAGAGTTGCAATTTTTCCATATCCTTATCAACATTAGTGTGGACAGTCTTTTTGATTTGAGATATTCTAGTGGGTATGAAATGGTATCTCAGTGTGATTATAATTCTTATTTCCCTCATTACCAATGATGCTGCTAATTTTTATATGTCTTTTAGCCTATCATCTATCTTTTCTTCTAAAGTGTGTGTTTATGTATTTTGTCATTTTAGTCTGGTATTTATTCTTTTGCTGTTGAAAGAAATGTTGTATGTATTTATGAGTCAGATATATTTTTTTCTAGTCTGTGGTTTGCCTATTCATTTTCTTAATGTTATATTTTGATTGACATAAGATTTTAATTTTGGTAAAAATCAGTTTGCCATTCTTTTCTTTTATAATTAGTGTTTCTGGGGTCCTAACTAAGTCATCTTTGCATTCCCTAGGATCACAAAGATATTCTATAGTTTGTTCCAGAAGCTTTATGGTTCTGCTTTTTATGTTTATGTTTGTGAATGATCTTGAATTAAGTTTTCAGTATGGGGAGAGAAAAGGATTGAGGTTTTTTTCTTTTAATACTTCTATGTAGTTGTTCCAGCATCTTTGATTTCCTTTTCTAATGAATGACTTGGCACTTTGGTTAAAATTAATGCTTAACTTTTGTGGAGCATATGTATTATACAATTTGATTATAATCTAATTGAAACTATATAATTTAATTGGAATGTACAAAGTCATCACAGTTTCTCCCCAATTTATATTTCACATTTGCATTTATTTTAGGAGAGATCAGAGTGGCCTTTGTTCTGTATAACAACTTGGGTCCTTATTTGTCCACGGAGAATGCCAGCATGAAGTTGGGAACAGAAGCTATGTCCACCAACCATTCTGTTATTGTCAACTCCCCTGTTATCACAGCAGCAATAAACAAGGAATTCAGTAATAAAGTTTATTTGGCTGATCCTGTGGTGTTCACGGTTAAACACATTAAGGTAAGACAGTAGCATATTAAGTTCAGTTGCCCACATTATCTATATTTGTTACAGCATGAACACAAAGTCTATTTTTTTTGTAATACAGCAATTCAAAACCTATTACATGATAGTGGCAGTTTTTTTTTCTGAAATGAGGAAAGAGAATGTTTCTCAATATGTAAATGCTTTATGACAAAAACATTCAGAGATAGATTTATAAATGCTTCTCCATAATTAAAAAGAAACAGCAATATATTCAGTAGAACTAGACATGGCTTCACATAGGATATTACAAGTAATTAGGTCTTTGTGTATAGATATATTTTGTGCTATGCTAAGACTGTATTCTAAATTGAACACAGATTTCTAAAGACCATCCTTTCGGAAGTTTATCCTTTAGAGCAATTGACTCCTTTACTCCGCAAGATATTTTACTTTGAAGTTAATTGGTGTGGTGCTGAGACATTGGTATTAGCATTACTTAAATATTAATTTGTGAAAAAGTAAACTCACCCCTAAGTGGAGGAGAATAGACAACAACAAAATTACTTAGAAATGATGAGTCCCACTTAATAGGAAAACATTTGTAGACATCTTCACAAAAATTGTAACAGAGTATGACGTTGTATTGACATAAAGAAAATGTCTGCCTAATTTATGTGATCATAAAGCAGTTATTGGTTTTATTGATTTTTTTCCCTGTAGCAGTCCGAGGAAAATTTCAACCCAAACTGCTCATTTTGGAGCTACTCCAAACGCACAATGACAGGTTATTGGTCAACCCAAGGCTGTCGGCTTCTGACAACAAATAAGACACATACTACATGCTCTTGTAACCACCTAACCAATTTTGCAGTACTGATGGCACATGTGGAAGTTAAGGTAAGATATATACCATGAAATGAAAATGCATACAATCAGGACACTAACTGCAAAAAGTCCTGACTCTTTGGGCCGGTCTCATGTCTCACTTCAGAGTTTTTCTACTTCCATAGTATTCTTATTCAGGAACTTTCTGGTGTTCAACCCACATACTTCTAGATGATTCAAAGAACTCCTTTTTTCTATTGTCAACATAGTTCATAAAACTGAAGTTTGCTTTTCTCTCCCCTGGTTTTATACTCTATGAATAAATGCCAGACCTCATGAACATGGCAAGAAAGGACAAGGATCAAAAGCCCATATGGTGAGGTTAGGAGCTGGGATCTGGTATGTGGAAGACTAAGGAACTGTGCATGGGTTTAAATGCTGTCAAAATGATTCAGAAAAGCAGTCATTGAGCACAATGCAAAATGCATAGTAATGGAAAGAGCTTAGCAATTCTAACATAATGTAATGGGTTTTGTCCATTCAGGAAGACACTATCCTAAGGAAAAATCCGCATGATAGTTTCCAAAGTCAGATTCATCACTTACTTGGCAGCATCCATCTTTTCCCAGCGTGACTCTGGCTATCATGGAAGGTGTGAAGAGGATTTAGATTTTAGATATATTCAAGACATAAAAATGCAATGTTCTGATTAACATGTTTATGGAGATTGATAGATGAGTCATTAACAAAAAATTATATACTTGTGAATTTCATCTCCCTCATGTCAATAGATATAGAGGAAGTATTACTGTGTAACAAATTTAGAAAAGGGAAAACTGTAGCAAAGTTTTATCTACCTGTTGTCATTGATCCAAATATTTCCATCCAAAATTTTCTTTGACACTGTTGAAGTTAAAGATGGTACAAGTGTCCCAGAGGGAGACCAAATGCAAGCCCAGTTACGCCTTAAGAGTAAATTGCCTTAGCTGTGTCAGCACAGTTCACATTTTTGTCTTTAAAGAACTACAACACATTTGTCAGGGCATTGAAAATTGATCTAGCTTAGCAATTTGGCCGCACTAACAAATGTTAGCTTTAAACTTGGCATGCATTAGTATGGCTCCAGGATTCTATTTTGCAGCTTAGGGAATCATTTCAAACTCAGAAAAAAAAAAGAGAGATCACACTTGAAGCAACAACAAATACCATTTTGCTCAGTTCATTTCATAACAACGTCTGCCCAGTCTGTTATACAAGAATCCTGACTGTGACTATTATCGTGTGTCAACAAGGGATATAATAAGTGGAAATCAATATTTGCCTTTATCAGTCAGCCACACAGCATGTATGTCTTGCATTTCTTGTATCACATACTCTTCTGATTACCTAAGTCGGTCCCATTTTGATTTCACAACTTGATGTTTACCCTTGAACAACAGGAAGCAAGTGGATTGATCATATCTAGAAGTCCAAAGAGTTGACACACTAACCAAACTTTCATTACACTAATGTTTAAAATAGAAGGCTAACTTATTTCACAGCAAGAAATACAGCAGGGAGTCAGAACAGTTATTTATGCTTGCAGTTGTCACTTTCTACCTCTGCAGGTAAATTGGTAATGGAAACAAAATTATTTTGGAGAATTTGGTTGACAATCTTGGACAAGAGCAAGATGAGTTAGCTGAGTAATCTTGAGTTACTGTTACTAAGCCATGGTTCCCTGATGCGTGGGATTTCACTCCAGGGCTCAACCTGTGTACTGAGTTGCCCTCATCTTTCATCTGTGTGATCTCTGCTGTTCTTTCAGCCCTTCCTTCATTCTTTCGTTACCACTATTTTTAAATATCTGAGTAGAGGTATTGACAAGTTGCCTACTATATGGTATATTCTCAATAAACATAACTTCCCCCTCCCATCTGCCAGAGATATTTCTAGATTTCATGTTACAGTGAAGCTTCTGGCCCTCAGGGAGCTCATATATGAGGGGAAGGCAAAGGCAAAGGTGAAGGTGCATTCATGACTGAGTAGTATTGTAGTTGGGTCAACACTGTGATGTAGGGACACAGGAGGATCATCCAACTAAGACGGGACTGCTCTAACAGCACTTTTCAAACAAGTACCCTTCTCTGAAGGATGGGTGGATGTACTTTGTAAGGTAACTTTTGGGCAATTTGCATTCCCCACAGTCCTGCAACATTTTCTTCACTTTGCCTTGGATTCACCATTCTCTCTTGTTTCTTCTTCAGCAACTCACCCTTTTTAGCTTCCTTTGCTGTTCCTCTTCATCTCCATGACCTCCCAAAATTGCTGTGACCCCGAGTGTAATTCTAGATGTAGTCTAGGCACTCTAAGTTGTTTCTTCTCCTTAGGTGATCTCACGTAGTCACATGGCTCTAAACAGCATTTCACGATTGCCAGATTTCTATCTCCGTTTCTTAACTACAGACTCATAGATTCAACTGCTGACTTCACTTGTCCACCTAGACTTCTATTAAGTGTCACAATTGTAGAACTACACTGTTGGTATTCTCTCATCTGATTCTATTCATCTTAGTAACATCCTTCCAGATGACCTGCCCCAAAACCAAATTTTAATTTGTTTTGTTTTGTATTTTTCTACTCATGCTCATATCCAGCCCTATGAGTGTATCCTGCCAGATCCAGCATCTGTCAGCTTCTCAGCATCTTCATCACCTAGATTCAAGCCACTAACATCTCTCCTGTATTTTGTAGCCACAGCCCCTTAATTGGTCTCCCTTCATTGCTCTTGTCTCCTTAAGTTTATTCTCAGCATAATGCCCAGAAGGATACTCTTAAAATGTGAGTCAGACTGTGTCACTCCTCTGATTCATTTTCAAAAAGCAGCTCTATAACCCCTTTAAAATGCAAATTAGGTAGTGCAGACCTTTGATCCAATCTGAAGGACTCCTTAGCTCAATAGCAGCAAAATTCCAAATCCTGGCTGTATTAGCATCTCTTGACCTCCTTTCCCACTTCTTCCCCTTGCTCACTTGGCTTCAGCTGCACCAGTCTCATTGCCTTTCCACAACAGATGTCTTGTACTTAAGAGCCATCTCAATCAAGTCTTTGCTCCTGTGTCACCTTCTCAAAGGTGCTTTCCTTTACTATCTTTTTAAAAATTCCATATTACCACACCCCCACAAAATACTGTGAGGAGTAAAGAAAACCATGCCCCTGGCCTCAGTGAATTTAGTTTATCAATGCAGAAAAGTATTGACACTGATTTTTGAATGCAGTGCTGAGAGAGAGTTTTACAGCTAGGTCAATATAGGCAGGTAAGAAAAAGAAGGAAATGCTTCTGTTCCAAGGTGGCAACCCAGCTGTTTAACTACTTGACAGTTCTCTCTTGTCTACTGTTTAAGGAAAAACACATGACTGTCTTTTCTTGTAGACAGAAAAATAATCATTACAGCCCTGGCTGGGGTGGTTCAGTGGATTGAGTGTGGTCACGTGAACCAAAGGGTTGCTGGTTTCATTCCCAGTCAGGGCACATGCCTGGGTTGCAGGCCAGGTCCCCAGTAGGGGGCATGTGGAGTGTGAGAGGCAACCACACATTGATGTTTCTTTCCTCTCTTCATCCATTCCCTTCTCTGTAAAAAATAAATTACACACACACACATGAATAATCATTACAAATATTTAGGTAATGTGATTCTGTATTAAACTCAAATAGTATTTATGATATTTTAAAACATTTCCATTATTGGGAATGATCTACAGGTTTGTTTGTTTTTCTGTTGTTCAGCAGAATGTTACACACACTAAATTGAAATGGATACCTCTTCTCTTACCAGTAATTCTTCTTGTGAACACCAATTGTAGGAGAAGTATTTTAGTTTACAGGAGGATAAATTTCAAACTAACTGACTAATTAACATTTCTGCTATGGTTTGGCAGAGCATTATAAGTAAATGCTTTAGAAAAGAATCTGACAATTTATATCACCTCTTTTCCTGTACTCAAATTATAATTCTTTGGGAGATAATAAAATAAAATGTCTCCCTCCTCTTTTCTGTCAGTTTAAGTTGATGTTGATTTTTATCTTTAAAAGGCTTCACTTCCTCTAGTTTGATGTTTATACTCCTCTCTCTCTCTCTCTCTCTCTCTCTTTCTCTTTTTTTAGCTTAGTGTATCTTATTGCCTCCACCCAAACTTCATGCCTAAGTGTAGGCATTGATTTTGCTTTTTAAAATCATTGCTTCAAATGATTTCTTAATTTAGTATTGATTCAAACAGTGACAATTTGGAAATTTTAAATCTCTACCATAGATTCAGTGTGCCAAAAATTATAGACAGACTTTGTCTAGGCTAGAATAAAACATGAGGTACTTTTACATTGCAAGATTTTGAAGATTCCCATGAAAGTACTTATTTTTTAAAAGAAAATAACTTTATTCTTGAAAGTCCAAAAAGAAATGTTACTTTGAGCTTAAAAAATTTTTTATTAGTGAAAAATGAAATGCCTATTGTATGATGCTAAAAGTTGTACACTTCCATTCCAAAATATTTATGCTAATTTTATATTTTGCCATTTATAGTGTGACTTGAGGTGGAGGTAGAGATTAAAAATCATAACTGGTATATAGGGCTTTAAACAGTGTATTTATTTAGGGAAAAAATAGATAACTGATGATTTGAATATCCTCCAAATATGAAATTATTTCATAAAAACAAAATAGTTTCAAAAATGGTCAAATGGAAATATTTCATTATATTAAATATCTTGAATAACTTTGCATTAAACAATTGACAGCCTTCTCGAACCAAAAACTAGTCTTAGATCTTCTCATTGAATAGTTTTATAAGGATGCATTTCCTTCATAGATTTATTTAAATTTGACATTCTTTATTTACCAGTATAAATTTTTATTGGCTACCTCCTCCACTAGACTCTAAGTTCAGTGTTAAGAGCAGAGAGATGCGAGAGAATCAGCCTTGTAGATCATCTGGGGAAAGATTCTTCCAGGGAAACGGAACAAAAACAAAACCCTGAACCCTGGTGAACCCTCAAGTGAGCCTGATGTTTCTGAGGAATTGCAGGGAGAACAGGG